CCCCCCCCCCGATTTTCGACACAAGATACCACCCCCTTGACCGATTTTGGCTCCATAGGTGACACAAGATACCACACCCCCTGGACCGATTTTCCAGTAGCCTTCGCAGGGGTTATCGTTTTAAGTAAACATGTTGGACAAAGCGTGCGATGTCGGAGAAGTGCGGTTAGTGCCAGGGACAAAGGGTGTACGTAAGCCCTCCCTACTTCCTCAAAAATTCAATTCTCGCGAATGGCCGTCCCGATTTTCGAAGGTCGATTTCTCCACGACGACGAGGATGCATAAAATGAAACGACACGTTTTTCAGAAACGACACGTTGCCGTTCTCGGCGCTGCCACTCCCGTGGAGCGATTGAGCTTTGCAAACCGGTCCAGGGGGTGGGGCGTCTTGTGCTACCTACGGTAGTGTGGTTCCGAAGGTCCCGGTGTAGTGCTGTCGAAACCTCGCGGCACGGGATCGGAACCCATGCTTGGAAACCTTTTGTGTGTGTGTGGGGGGGTGATATAGTACCAAAATCGAGTTGTGCGGGTCACGCAACAGTTGTAGAATTCTGTCTTGTCTGTTCATGTCGCATGATTTCCGGTCTGTCCGTGTTCTTGTCTTCACTTGAAGAAACCTGACGACCTCCCGCCATGTACCTCTTCTATCGCACTCTTGGAAGGCTTTGACACTAGCGTGCTCGCAAGCATGAACTCTCAATGCTGTACGAGCAGTTGGTGTGCGAACGACCCAGCACAAGCCCGACCACTCCCGACCACTAAGCTAAACGCGAACACGTCCATGAAAAACTTGTCTCCATGACGTCCTACGTCTCCCTGCCGCCCCCCCCCCCTCACTGCTCTTCCGGTAGGAGGAGACCACTTTCCGACACAGCGAGATGAGCATACGCCAGATCCCGATCAAGCGACAACAAAACCGATGTCCCTCTTCAGCGGCAAACACTGTCGAGCAACACCATCCCCGCCCTTCCAACAAGCGTCCCAGAGAAGAAGAAGGAGAAGAGAATGGGGACGGTCCATCAACCGTGGTGGGCGGTGCATCGCCGCGAGAAGAGAGGAGCGGCGATGAGGGAGAGGGTGGGGTGGGGTGCGTGTGCTACATCTGCGACCCCCCCGCGCTGCCAGGGAAGTTCGATGTGCCCAAGGCGAAGGCGCTTAACGTTCCCCACGTATGTGTTTGTTTCTTATTATTTTGATTGTTTTTGTTATTATTGTTACTATTATTGTCAATTTGTTGCTGCTCTATTATAGTTAACTTTTTGTTTCATTGTTTTATTATTATTTTATTTTATTTTCGGAGTATTAATTTTCGTTGTTATATTTCCCGGTGTATGTCGCGTTGGTGTAGATGACCGTGAGGGGTCCCTTGTGGTGAGGGGGTTGGGCTTTTCTCCGGAATCTGTGTGGATGCGCGTATGATGTGCTCTGTCAGCGAAAAATGTGATGATGGAATCATCGCCACCCTTGGTAAATTTTATGACCCAACTACTGTGGGCTACGGCCAATCAATCGATGTTTGTTTGTCTCCGTTGGTGAAACGAATCCATCGGGCCGTGACTTGTTACCGATTCGTCCAGCTGTTCGCGACAACGGACCGTTCGCCAAGCGGACTCCCACCATTTTTTTTGTCGTGGCCCCCGACCCGACCCTCTCTGCTCCCTCCCTCGCAACGACTGCTGCTCGGTTTCGTACTGCCGTTTGACACGTTCACCCGGTATTTCAGGGTCCTTTGTTCGGGGAGTTACAGAGGGGCAATGACGTTACGCTTGAGGATGGTACTGTCATCAAACCCTTTCAGGTATATGCATTTTGGAGGGGTGGGTTCTAAGGGCGCC